GCACAACTCGCTATAACGCACACACACACACACACACACACACACACACACACACACACACACACACACACACACACGTATGCACACCAACACACAAAGGCAGCTCAGTCATCGTCTTTAGTCGAAAGCTCCAGTAAATCGGAACAGATGTTGTTTTTCTCATCGACAAGACTCCTCCATGTCTTTATCTCTCGTACTTTCACACCCGAGACCCTTGGAAAACAGGCTCCGGCGCGCCCTGCGCCGCCGTGCGTTCCCACGCCGCGAGACCCCTCCTCCCCTCCACCTCCCACACCGCCGAGAAGATAAACACTCTCCTCCGCCCGCAAACTTTTCCAACAGTTGATTACAATCTAGCAGGTGAGAGAGAGACGAGGTTGGAACAAGATAGGAGGCCGTCCTCCCTCCGCTCGCTCCGTCACCGCTCCAGGGGGACGGGAGGGCGCGCGAGTGGCAGTCAAGTGCTGCGAAGCCCTCACGCCACCGCCTCGGATCCGCACGCGAGCGGGCACGGACAACGTCAGCTCTCGAACGCGTGGCCTGAATGGCCACTCCCCGATTTTCCTCGACGACAACTCAAGGCCACTCAAAGGGATTGCGAGGAACGGGCGCCGCCAAAAATATCCCGCGAGTGCAATTTTTGTTGCGGAACAAATGACTTTTAGCGGCCAAAGAAACCAGCAAAAAGAGGCAAAGCCAAAAACAACGCAAAGGGCACACGAGTGTCCGGAGGACAGGGAATGAACCTCGGGTCGTCAGCTCCCCCTTCATAGAATCAAGCCGGCAGCAGCGGGGCCGCGCGATGGTCCGAGCGCTCGGTCGACAGATGATGACGTCCGCAACTGCACTCTGCGGATGTTTGACGACAACGCGCGGCGACAGGAAGAGACTTGATGGCCCTCCGCCATGACTCATCGGAGGCGGCCGGCCGGCTCAAGTCGCGCCTCTCCTTTCTCAAGAGCACGTTGAGATACGGCCCTTCGCGCCTCGGTCGCACCCCGGCTGGGTGACCGACCGAGTCAGCCGATCCCGCGTCAAGCGTCTCCACGCCCGTCGCCACTGACTCGGGCCCAGCACGTGAAGGAAACACCACTTGGATGAACATTCAACATTCAAACTCGTTTTCTGGTCAAATTCCAAGTACTATTTGACCATTGTTGTCAAACTTTGCAGACGCTAGAATCGAGTGAGTTTCGGCTGATCGCCGACGCCGTCCTGAAACCGAGACGCTCCTGCGGTTGTGGTCCATTTGAACGGAGTGAGTGTTCATCCAGCCCAAAATACACGGAGGCCGCCCCATAGGTGACAAAGAGCAGGTGGCGGCATCTCTTACCAGGCTGCTGATGCTGGCCAAAGTGCGATTGGCGTTGACGATGGCGTAGGTCAACTGGTACGTGCCGTCGTTGATCTCGCTGTTTCCATAGAAACCCACTGCCACAGCGCAGCTGCCAAGAAGATGAGGGGCCAAGCATGAGAAGTGGCTCTTTTGCTCGTCAACCCAAAATTAGTCGGGTACTTGTTGGCCAAAGACAAACTGTCTGATTGTCGCCTTCAGGCATCAGAAAGACCGAAGGCAAAGAAGACGCCAAGTGGGACGCGGACAAAAGGCGCAGGAAATGAGATTTTGGTGAGTGGACGTAAATATTCTTTTGCTTTTGTGACACCTCAAATGATAAAACAACGAAAACGAGGTTCCATTTGACCAGCAAGTGACAAAAGCGCTCTCGTCAAGATTTGAAATGCAAGGACGACGGGGATTCGGAAAGTTGACAAGTCAACGAATGCTTCAACTCCGAATGCGCCGGGATCTCAGGGCGGTGGCGTCTGGCTCGGCCATTTGCTCAATTTAGTCCTGCGTGTGTGCGTGCGTGCGAGCAGTCCGACTGACCATACGATAAGCCCGGCGACGGCGGCCGACCACGTCGCGCAGCGGGTCCTCTCGGGTCTTTTGGCGTCTCGGTCCACGTCCCTGCGACGGCAGCGCAAGCACAGCAAGAAGAGAAGCAGAAGCAGCAGGCTGACGGCCAGGCCCGCCGCTCCCACGCAGGCCAGGACCGCCACCGACTGCCGGGAACAGAGAGCAAACGCAACCTGAAAATCAGCACCTGAAAAAGAGGAGCGGCCGCAGCGGCACACGGAGGCGAGAGCTGAACCTTGCGCATCAGGGAGGTCGCCAATCGCAATTTTCTGGCCCATCTTCGATCCTCCGTCTTTAAAAAGCCCGGCCATCCCACTTTTGCCAATCGCAATTTTTTTTTCCCCCCCATCAAAGGCACTTCAAAAGGATGTCTGAGAATTAGTTTTGCTCGAACATCACGATATCGGTGGCAAAAAAAAAACGAAACAACATTATTGTTGCGTCCCACTATCGTTTCTGGCAATATAAACATACGGCGGCAGGCCTCGCGGAGGGAAGCTTGGCTTTATACGAAAGGATCAATTGAAAATGAAGGACACCGGCGCCTGGTCGATGGGCAGCCCCACGATATAGCCAGTCGAGAGCTGGTCTGGGGGAGGCCCGCGTCTTGTGACGCGCCGCCTTTCATTCGGTCTTTTGATCCCGCAGTGGGGGCGGCAACTCAAGCCTGGGGGGGGATGGAGACCAAACGCGCGCGCGGGGAAGAGAGCCAACGCGGACGCGCAAACATTTCCTCAGGAGCGTTGAGGGCGGGGGAGCTCAGCTTTCAAAAGAACGCCCTTTCCCAACATTTTGGAGGTACCTGATTTTCTTGACGGAATGGGGGGGAAAAACACACACACACCTCCACAAGTGACAGTACTTTCATTGAATGGGGGGGGGGAAAACACACACACACACACACACACCTCCACAAGTGACAGTACTTTGATTGACTAGAATACTGTGACGCGCTTTCACAGGAAAGAAACTGAACGCGGACAGGAGGCAACTACGCGTACAAGGCCAATTGAAATCAGTCTGGAGCATCCATCCGTCAGCTGAACACTTTTTTTTTTCTGTGGATCTAATAAGATTTGCAGACAGTCCTCTTCAGATTAGGCAACTCATTCAAAAAAAAAAAAAAGAACTAATTTTGTTGGAATGTCCCCGACAACGCACCAACCCGGCTCATTCCAACGCAGTCTCCGATTGTGCACGCCGGCGATAGCATTACAATTAAAAAAAAAAACCAAACAACCCAAAATGGGATCACTGAGTCTGTTGCAATTCGACTGTGAGGCCAACACAGAAGCGCCCCTCCGTGCCATTGTCATCGCACACCTCAAATTTTAGCGCGACGGCCTCGTGCGCCGCTCAATGCAACGAAAATCACTTGCGGATGCTGCGGCAAATTGCATTCGGCGAGATGAGGAGCTGTGCTTTTTTTCGTTTTATTTTCCTGTGTCCGGTGTTCATGTTTTTTATGTACACCCGCTCTCGTCGGCTCTGCTCCTAATGCCAACCGATCAGCTCCCTCCGGTCCGGTCCGGCCCGGTCCATTGTTTTCATTGGTCACGTTTCTTGGAGTGGCGACCGTTTTATTGTTACTTTGAATCTCGTTTTGGGAATTTCAAATGCCTTGTTTGTTAGGTTTCTTTGAAATCAAGGTTTGCCTTTTTTTTTTAGACTTCTACGCTAATATTCTGTGTGTTTGTGTGCGTGTATCCACACAGAGCAAAGTTGTTGCGACCTGTACATGTCAACGTAACAAAGATGAATTCATAAGCGCGAGCACCCCCACAAAAGACCAATTTCATAACAACATAACTGGAGCCTATTCATGGATGTTTTGTTTTGCTTTGGAACGGATTGGCGTCTTTTCCATTTATTTCGACTGGCCAAGATCATTTGAGAGATGATTGGAGACAAACGGGGCCAAATGACATCCTTTGGCCAGGTTGACGTTTTTTCCGCACTCGTTTTGTGTCACGATGTCAGCCCGGTGCTGTCACTGACGTCGAGATCGCAGCGGTAAGGAGGAGCGGGGAGCGCTCATTTACACCCTGCGAGTTTCCCCTTTCGGGGGCTCCATTCAACTCAAGCTGTTTTCGTGCACTTGAGCTACTTTTGTGCATCTATTTGAGCTTGGCTCGCGACGCGCCTACTTCGGAGGGCTTCGGCCACGCGCGACTTGGGATCTGATAGCTCACGACAGTTTCCACCAAGGAGCTTTCTCCCGACACTGCTTGGAAAGTCACTTTTGAAAGGAGCGCCGTGTCAATCATGAAATGAAGAAATAAAATGACTCTCAAAGAGCCAGCTCGGTCAAGAGACAAGTCGACGAGAAGAAAGCGAGCCGGCCTAAATCCATCGCGGGCGAGGCAGTTGGCTGACTTTTCGGGTCGAGCCGTGCAAAGCCTGGTACCGACCTGCTGGTAGTTCCCCTGCTCGGGTCTGAAGGTGCCGTCCACGGGCTTGAAGGACAAGTCGAAGTGAGGGAAATTGTGCAGCCAGTAGGTCCACCACGGAGCCACATAGTCGAGCCTCGCGCTGGCCGCCATCCCTGCGGCTGCGGGGCAAAGTGCGCGGCGAGCCGAGCCCCCGAGACTATCCGCGGCCGGGGGCGGGCGGGGAGTTCGCGGGGGACTCCCAAAGGGGGCTCAAAGTGGGGGCGAGGAAACGTCGCTCGCGGAGCCTCCGCGTGGCGGGTTTTAGTGTTTTGATCCGAGGCACGGGACTTGAGTGACGGCGTGAACCTGCAAGCCTTAACGGGACAGGGGGGGAAGGCGTGACGGGCAGGCCACGTCACGCCCGCCTCTCATTTCACATCACAAGCGGCGCATTTCCCGATTTCTTTAACTTCCGACGCATCTTTCTTACATCGTTGTTGATCGTTTGAATTTATGACTCTTGCTGTTTGTGTCTGACCTCTTGTGGACGACGGGGCGCACTGAGGTGAATTCCAAGGAGGGGCAGCCCACGAGTGGGAACATTCATTCAATAAGGCAGCAAATGAGCGGCAACAACTCCTCCGAAAAAAACTTGGCTTTTCAAGCACCACCATGATGACCGACATTAGAATTCTGGTCATCAAAATCGAGGCGGAGGTTTTATTCCTAAAAAGTAGATTGAACATTGTTGCAAGACACTGCAAAATTTGGCACAGTATAAACATTTCCACTGCACTAAAAATATCGCCATATTTAAAACTGTACTTTAATCCCGATTCAACAGCAATGTAGGACACCTTCATAATCTTCGATGAATTATCCCTCACATTATATATGTAACGGAGTGATAAATTGCTTTTATTAAATTACCGCGGAAGTGACGTAACAGCGCACGGTATGGCACCAGCTTCTTGCCGTAGTTCCGGCAGCGCTACCAGGGAAGTCATATGGTAAGTCACGTTTCATTGACGGTCCGGATTCATTTATAGTTTAAAGACAATATTTCACTTTGTTTTTCCTTTTTTTACGGTACGATGTCTTGAATTAGTTCCCCGACTTGTCCCAAGTCCAAATTGCTTTTTGTATTGTTATTTAATTTTAAGTTTCGTCGAATGAAAGTTTTTAGTTAATAGTGCTTTTCTGTTACTCAGCTATGTCCGACACCAAACGCGACTTCACCATTCCCCTGCCATACTGTGTTTCAGGTAATGTTTGTTTCCCTTTTAGTTGTACTGTATATAGTTTTTCATGTCGTTTTTCATGTGGCTGTGTTTGTTGCTGGTGTGTGTCCGCGGTTCGTCGCGGCCGCCATTGTTGTGCGTTTGCGCAGCCGTTCTGCTGCGTGTGATGCGTTCGGCGGCATCACGTAAATAGCAGAGTGTGTGTGTGCATCTTTTCCTTTTTTTTTTTTGTAAATAATCACTATACGATCACCCATGTTTTGTATTTGGTCTTGTTTATTTTCTCTTGCTAAAATGATGATATAGTTCAGGGAGAGCTACCAGGGAAGTCACATGCTATGTCCGACGTTCTGTTTCATAATTGCTGAAACATTCTTCTGTTGCTTGAATCTGATTGGCGAAGAAAAGCAGGAAGTGTTTCGTTACCGGCAGGAGGTGCAGGCGTTGAGTGTTTCAGTAATCAAAAAAGAGAGAAAAGCCACACTCCACGCGTCTGGTTTTATTGAGGCAGCGACGTGGAGCTTGAGAACATCACAGTTGTGAGCCCCGGCACATATATGTAAGCTTTTGTTCAATTGTTAATTATCTTTTTGTTAAATTGTTAATTATTATCTTTTTATATTTGAGCGTTATATTCTTTTATGTTACAGTGACCTAAATTATTTTCTGTTTCATAATTGCTGAAACATTCTTCTGTTGCTTGAATCTGATTGGCGAAGAAAAGCAGGAAGTGTTTCGTTACCGGCAGGAGGTGCAGGCTTTGAAAAATAAAAGCTGCGTTCAAACGAAGTCTATCTCTCCTTTTTGCCCATTCCTAACGTAGAGCCATCCATTCAAAACCTACGAACCCCTCAACTTACATATATTTTTATTTTCCAATACGGGAAAAGCACTCGAATTTTTCTGCCTGATCATTTTGGACCAATGAAGCTACCCAGTAACGAATTGCAAAGACTGTCTTTCCAAGCACAACTGATGTAGTGTGCCGCAGTACTCTCTTCCTCATCCATGCAAATTTTTTTGCCCCCCCCAAGCAAATCGGGAGGTGATGATGATCACTCTCCACACCACATGGTCATGGCTCGCCGTGCTCTTTTGGGGGCACCCGACAATCAGGCCTTCACTGGCTTTGATTCGAAGAGAGGGGAAAATACTCCAATATGGCGCAATTGTTGCTACTTGTGTCGCTCGCTTAAGTTTAATGCATCAGAACTATACATTTGCATAAAATGACACGGGGCCCGCACAATCAAAAAACGCACACTCTTGCCAAGCACTGAGAGCGGTTGACAGATTAAAAAAAAAAAATCAATCAGGCTGACGGTATTTCAGATGCGTCTCCCTCCCCTCTGAGGATGGAAGGGGGTTGTCGATGTACGCGGGGCGCGGAGCATCCCGATTAATATCGGGCGACCTGTGTCATTATTTGGATGTTTTGATGCACCTCCACGGCCGGAGGAGCCACAGAGGCACTATGAATACAAATCGTGGCATCTTCCGCATTTCTAAACAGCCGGATTTGATGCCTAAGAGCTTTCTGGCAATTGCTGTGCCAATCACACTTTGAGTCGGCCGGGGAAGAACAAGAGGGTGAGGCGCGGCTCGAATTTGGACTCGCCTCCGCTGCTCCATCACTCCCGTGACCTCGGCGCGGGCAACACGTGACCATTCCACCTCATCCCATGTCAAACACGACTGATTTGTTTGAACTGTCCATTTTTATTCAATTCATCCCGGGCTTGTCCACTTTCCAGTCCGCACTACGTGCATGCATGATGAGAACGATCGGTGCAGCTGGGGACGGTAGTTAGCCCAAATTGGAATACAGTATTCATCTCCGCAGTCTGTTTCACATACCGCTAGAGAAGCCCACGTAGCACTCCACGAGCATTTCTTCTCCTTTGTCTGGATGCCCCGTGGCACTATATTGCCCCCGCAGGTCAGCCTTGGTACGACAACGGACAACTGCTCTGGGGCGGAATCGGAATGTGCGTGGGCTCAAAACGCTCAAAATAATCATCGGTGCGAGGTAGTGCAGTCATCTTCGAGCTCGTAATGCTCAAAGTTGAGTGAGGACCCAAGTTAGCCTTTGCTTCCGTTGATGAAAAGGGTTCCTCCTTGGCTAGTGAACTGCCACAGTCTCAAACCGAACTGTTGAGAATCGCAGCCAAACCAAGGCCATTGATAATCTCACAGCCGCCATGTTGTTGTTGGGGTTTTTTTGTTTTCCTCACGTGACGAATGCACCTGCTGAAACTCCAGTTGGGCTTCTCATGGAGGTCATGCGATTTCCAGTTGGGCAGTCAGAGAGTGTGAAGAGGCCATTAGGTGGCAGCCCAGTACTTGATTCCACATGCGCGGTCTGCCTCTGCGCCAGTGCAACTAATGCGCTTGTGGGGAATAATCTTGGTCTGAAAAGTGAGATCTAATCCAAATGAAATCAGACCGACAGGACGGATCCATCGCTGCGGCGGCTCTTTCATTACAAGGAGCCTCGGCGGTCAAACGTTTGGGAACCGGCATGGTGGGGGACAATACATCTCGAAAGAGGCCTTTGAAGAAACTACTTGGGAGAAAAACGCGCACCATGAAAAGGAATCAAGTCGCACAGCTATTGACAAGTCAAGGTTTGTCATTCTTACCGTAAAGTAGGTGACATTCAAACGGTGGCCGAACTGTCGGTTTTTTTTTTTTTTTTGAACGACCGTCTGCTGGACTTGCTCCCCCAAGGCAAGAAAAGTTGCAGCTCAAACTAGCGCTCCTCCACTTGAGATGTCAAATTTAAATCCCTTGAAAGCGGCATATTCTGGAAAATCGACATTTAAATAGCTTCCAAATCGTTGTGTGTCTGCAGAGCCTGGATTGAACAACCAAGTCAAACTTTTGCAAGTTGCCCGATTCTGAGAGGGTACATGCCAGGGCTCTCAAGCTCGGGTCCTCGAGACTCTCTCGCTCTCTCTTTTTAGATAGATAGATAGATACACACTGCTACCTCATCGTGCTCAAGTGTCCGCAACGAGCTGGGAACGCACTTCCTGATTGACCGCCTGCGTGACAATCAGGAGGCTGATTGGTTCATTTCAATCTGTTTCCAAGCGTCCTATCTTCAGCTGCTCACTGGCAAGTGCAAAGCATGTCGCATTGGACTTTCTCCTTGGTGATTATTGCATTTATTTTCCCCGGTTTTTTTTGGGGGGGTGGGGGTGGAGTGTGACTGAAATCCCCATGCTGTATTTTGAGTGATTCATCCATATGAGTGGAGATTGGGGCCCGAGAGCTCAAACGTGCTGGTATTATCCAATCAAAGCGGGCTGCTCAGCGCCCCCTGAGATTGCATGAAAGTGTAATATCAATGCAGCTATATTGCCACTTGGAAAAACACACAGCGTCCCGTGCCGCTGCCGCTGCAGCGACGGCCGAAGGAGCCTCCTCTCCTTCGGCCGTCGCTACACCAAGAAAAGAAAATCTCCAGGGTGTTTCATTTATTTGAGCAATAATTGGACAGAAGAAGGGCAGCCTGGTGGCATCATGGGTAGCGGGAGCCTGAGTGGCTAGCGACAAATTTACAGGGCAATTTTTCAATTGGGTTTTTTTTTTTTTTTGTCTTGAGTTGCGCGCAAGAATAGACACTTTCGTCAAATATGCGCATCGGACTCTGCGCTTGCGTAGATATGGTCTCATATACTTGGGTGCCGAAACTAGCTCAAACTTGTATAAAACGTATCATTAAAAAAAAAATCTATGAAAAATAACAAACCTGGTCTTAATACTAGCTGAATTAAAAAAAAAAGAAAACAAAATAAAAACCCAAACGCGAAAGGAAAATCTAAAACTATTCCAACCCTGATAAGGCGAAGGAGAACGGTATCTTTGATCTGATCTGATCTGTTGTTGTTGTTGCCAAGTCCTTCAACTTTGCTTTCCACGCCAGCGCCATTCAAAATGGCAGCGTGCTCCCCGCCATTCCTTTCTTCCAGTCTCCTCGGCTTGTTTGCATGCACCAAGGCCAGACCGCCATTCACCGGGTCGGCAAAAAAAAGCCCAAAAACCCAAAACAACAAATCAATCATTGCTCTTGTCAAACTCAAAAGACAAAAGCTTTTGCGTGCAAAGCATTCAGGGTTGTCCCGGAGAGATTTTCGCCCTGGTGGCGCCTTCGCTTTTTCCGCTCGCTTTGCAAGTCTGCGTGCGCCTCGGAATTTCAAATGAGACACTGAGACTTTGTAACCCAGACGCTTGGATGCCAGGATGCCGTTCGTATTTTTATTCATTTCCCAGCGCCGTCGGGCCCATTTCATGCCGTAATGACTTGGGCTCGGAGGAAAAACTAAACTGACGTTGGCACATTTGTCCTATTTTATTCGCCATCCCTGA